TGCTTGAAAATTCTGTCCCTCTGCCCTTCCCCCACTCCCGCTCGCTCTCTTGCTCTCTTTTAAAAATAAATAAATAAACCTTTAAAATAAAAAAGAAAACAAAAGAAACCCAAGAACGTGACTCAGAGGCTGCAACTACTTTGGTGCTGATTGCTGCTGCCATCTAGTGGCAACAACTTGGAACTAAAACGCTCCCTTGGGCCATAAACTCTTTTTCCTGTAGATCTTTCTTCTTCCATCATTCATTCATTCACTCACTCACTCACTCACTCACGTGTTCATTCTACAAATATCTTATGAGAATGTACTATATGTGGCAGATCCTCACAAATGCAATAAGAGAATACAGTAATGGGAGGAAATCCAGCTCGTTATGCCCCTCGAAACTTACACACTTGTGGGAAGTTAGCCATTAATCAAATTTAAAAATGAAATAAATATGACTGGAAAGGGTTCTAAGAGAAGAACATGGTGCTATGAGACTCACCGGTAGGGATTTTCCTTACTGCGGAGATGGATAGGAGGTCAGAGAAGGCTTTCCTGATGATGTTCTGATTGATCTTAGGAAGGGAATTACCTGGGCAGTGAGACCAGTCATGAAAATGACCTGCAGCAAAGGGAGGGAGTGTGCTGAGTGCACAGGAGCAGGAGAAGACAACGTGTCTAGATTAGCACTTAATACTAGACATCCTAAGTTTTTTTTCTTTTTAAGATTTACTTATTTGACACACAGAGAGAGATTACAAGTAGGCAGAGAGGCAGGCAGAGAGAGAGGGAAGCAGGCTCCCCGCTGAACAGAGAGCCTGATGCGGGGCTCGATCCCAGGCCCCTGAGACCATGACCAGAGCCGAAGACAGAGGCTTAACCCACTGAGCCACCCAGGAGCCCCAGCATTCTAGTTTTTGAATTGAGACTGTGGTTGTTAATTATAATGGCCATAAAATTATTTTACCTGATAATAGGCTTAAAAAATATAGACTAACAACTACAGAACATTCCACACCAACAGCAGAACACACATGCTTCTCAAGTGCATATGGAATATTCTCCAGGATAGACCATATGCCAGGTCATAAAATAAAGCCTCGATAAATCTAAAAGGATTGAAAATGTACATAGTATGTTCTCTGGCCACAATGCAATGAAATTACTAGTGGATTAAAGTGAAAGCTTTTTAAATACAAATTTTATTAAATCTTGTTGTTTTTCAGTTTTTATAACTTAAATATTACAAAGTCTCAAGCTCTGAGAATTTTAATATGAATTATTCAAAGCCCATGTACAATAATGGAACATTCAATTATGGCATAGCATACTTTGTAATGTGACAGTGTAGCTCTTTATATAATAAAACAAAGCTAATGAAAAAAATTCTTCACCATCTTGGTTTTTACTTCAAATACTCTGACATAAAATAAAGAGAGTCAAATAATACTATGTTACCAGTGAAGTAAACAGAGGTGGGCAATCCACTGAGGAAACTGTAAGACCCGATCTAGGGCACTGTCACTGGTGCAGAGAGAAGGGGATTCTCTGGGGAAATATGCAACAGGTAAAGTCCATTCAAAATGGAGGTGGTTCTGTTATGAGCACTGAGGGCAAGGGAGGGCCATAAGTAAAAGAAAAGTCCCAGGTTTGTGACATGAGCAACTAGGAGACAGGCAGGGGCATTTCATGAGATAAAGAGGAGTGGGAAGAACACGAGCTGAGTTCAATTTTGGAAGTGTTGAGTGTGACGTGTCTGGGAAACATCAAATGTGGCGGGGATCAGGAGTGGTGGGGAAGATAGACAGGGACCCCCATAAGAAGAAGCATTCAGTGAGGTAAGAGGAAAAGCCACAGAATGTGTTCTTCAAAGTGCAGGAGACGGATGGCTTAATTTCTCCTCCATGCTCACGAAGCCCTTGGAATGGCAAACCCACTCACACTTCACTCATGGCATCAGAAGTATTCCCGAGCATATCTACAACTCAGAATAGAGTGCCTTGAAGGGAAGTAAGCAAATGAAGAGGCACCTAGGGTAAGGGAACAGCATTTCAGGTGCAGTAAGCAGAGGGAAGAACGGATGGAAGGGATAACTAAGAAACTGAAAGCAGTGATTCCTCTTTATTTCTAGGCTCCAAGATCTCTCAAGCCATGGAGGCAAGCTCTTGTGTTTACAGCCAGCCCAACACCGTTCAGAAGCTCCTTCCTATGTGAAAGCTGCTGGAGGGTAAAGCATTGAATACCATCTCTCACAAGAGAGGGGAGTGAACCGTCCCTTGGTTTGGCATCAAGAAGTGGTACTAACAAACTCATCTCCAGTTGGGGGCTCTTGACTAAAATTCATATGGAATTAAATAATCCTGACCACTTCAGGAGAGGCGGTTGCCCACCCTCTCCTCTCCTCTGCAGTTAAGTTCCCTGACCTACTTCTCCTTTACTAAGCAATCATCCTCTTCTGAGTTGGAACTCAAGGGTCATCTACAAACTTCTTTATTATTGTCATTGTTGTTTGTTTGAGATCATGACCAGAGCCCAAGTCAGAGACTTAACACCTGAGACACACAAGCACCCCAAAACTAACAAACAGTATTAAGTAGACCTAACAGTGGAGGGGAAAGTGATGAATTGAATGAGGGCCCCACCAGAAGACGACCTTCAGACAAATCCCCCAGCCATTCCATCCTCAGAGGGAAGGGCATTTCAGACAAAGGGAATGGCGAGTACAAAGGTAAAAGCATGAGAAAAGGCTTGGCCTACTTTCCATCTCGGGCTGAGTTTTAGGATCCAGATCATGCATAGTCTGGTGGGCCAGGAGCTTACTCTTTGAACAATGGGTAGGCAGAAACTGTTTCAGTAGGGAGAGATAGGATCGAAATGTTTTAAAAATTCTCATCCTAGTTGGTATGTAGAGAAAAAAAAAATGAAGGTAAGAGTCTTAAAGGAGAAACCAGTGAGAAGGCAGCTGTAGTAAACTATGTCCCAGAAGGTGGCTAGGGAGATCAAAAGAGGTAGACTAATATGGTATATACTTTGGATTATAAAAGTATATGGAGCATATAGAGTATGTAAACACCTGACCGTTAATCATCAAATACCTATAGGAAGTTGAGGAAAATGTGGGAGGCGGGAGGTGATTAGACATAGTTTCTGAACAGTGTGCTTGAGTAAATGAGTGGATGCTGCATAACATGGTACTATTATATACATGGGATCAGTGGTGGAAAGAAATCTGTTTTACAATTATTAAATATGAGTCACCTATCAGACACCAAATTGAGATATTAAAGACACAAATGGTATTGGAGTTGGGAGTGGGAGATATGGAGTGGTGGAAAATACGAACTTGAAAGTATCAGTAGAAGTAAAGAATCCAGAAAGGTTATTAAAGATGGAAAGTGGCAGTGTGTTTCTATACTGATGGAAATAATCCGGGAAAAAGAGGAAAGAGAAATTGAATATGCCTGGCATAGACAGGCATGTCTATGTCTATTTCAGTATTTACTGAAAAACTGAAGTCCTAAGAGAACACTGGGAGACAGTAGAGAACATACCTTAGAAGTATTCTAACTAAGGTGTGCATAAGCTGGAAAATTTATTCACCAACTTCCATCAGTTGCTGGTTGAGGAGTGCTCTCAAGAGGTGGGGGATGGGTGGGCAGTAATTCCCCAGCATTTCTGGCCTTCCCTGGACATATGCTAAGCCAATTCTGGTGAGCAGAGAAAGCCATCAGGCAGACTCCTAAGTGCTTTCAGTTAGAAGTCATTGGATTGGCATATACAGGAATGGTGAGTCTCAAAGCTATATGGGAGGGCGCCTGGGTGGCTCAGTGGGTTAGGCCTTTGCCTTTGGCTCAGGTCATGATCTCAGGGTCATGGCATCGAGCCCCACATCGGGCTCTCTGCTTAGCTGGGAGCCTGCTTCCCCCTTTCTCTCTCTCTGCCTACTTGTGATCTCCTGTCTGTCAAATAAATAAATAAAATAAAATAAAATAAAAAAGCTATATGGGACACCAAAAGGGTCTTCTACCCTGTCCCACTTGATATTTTCTCCATGGAATCTCAATTTTAAACATAGAGACAAAACTGACAACAACAACAACAACAACAACAACTCTGATTGACTGAATAGGTGTCAGGAAATAAACTGTTTTAGCTGTAACCTTGTGCCTCCCATAGAGACCTGAATTGGGGAACTTAATGAATGTTAACCTTTCTGGGTTTCAATGTCCTGCTGTGTAGAATGGTGAGAAGTAAGTAGAAAGAAGAGGACTTCTTTCCAACTCTTATTTTCGATTATTTGAATTTAGGTGTAGGGGAATTCTTCTTTGTCCTCATTAGCTATATCAAAGTATTTCAACAGGTATTAAATACCTACTATCTAACCACTTCAACTTATCACATTATAAGTCTAGAGTATCTACCCTCCGCTAGCCACTGTTCAGAGTGTTTTACATATAATATCTCTGATCATGGCAGTCATCTGAGAAAGTTAGTGTAAGTCTCATTTTACAGGTGACGATTCTGATTCTGAGAGGTGATACGATTTACTCGGATCCTTCTGACTTCCAAACATGTGTGGGTTTTTGTGTTTGTTTTTTTGGTTTTTGATACTGCAGGACAGTGAGACGGTGACGACTATCTCAACAAGAAAAGGGAATGAGGAGGGAATGACTCTTGCAGCAAATGCTGTGGCCACTGACATTGATCTGAGAGCCACCTGAGACTATGGGAGGCCTTTCTCCAAATTCAGCCCATCCTCCTAAGCGCACTTCTCTTTTTGGATTCGTGAGCAGAACTGAAGAGATGCACGAGGGTTCTGGAGAAAACCGACTAACTGGACGTCTTTAAGCCCACAGAACTCCTTGTAATTGTTAATCTTCTGTTGGGCGGCTGCAAGAGCGGAGTCAACCACAACAAAGATGGCGGCAGCGGCTTCACACGGCAACGGCGACGCTACCTGTCACCGAGGGCCTCAGTATTTAGTTCCGGCCTGCCCGTTTGACGTCACTTCCGACACCGGTTCCGCGGCGTCTGCGCCGCTCGTCCTGTAGCGGCGGTGGGGATGCTGAGCCGGGTGAGTGGAGTCTCAGGGAGTCTCGCGGAGGGAATCCGAGAGGATGTGGGGGGCAGCAACATGGAAAGGGAAGGTGGGAAGCCTGCGGCTGTTGTCGCGGTTGTGACTGAGCCTCGGTTTACCCAGCGATACAGGGAATATCTCGAGAAGCAGAAACTCCTGGACAGACGGCACCGTGTAGAAAAGATGCCGGATGGCACGGTGGCGCTGCCGGTGCTGGGAAAGACTCTCCCTGAGCAGCACCTGCACGAGCTGAGGGATTGTGTGGCTCCAGGCAGCACCTGTAGAGTAACGCAGCTCCTGGATCCTGTTCGCTCAAAGAAGGCCCAGGGTTGTTCACCGGCCCAAAGGCTGTGTCTTGAAGTGAGTCGCTGGGTAGAGGGCCGGGGAGTGACGTGGTCAGCTGAGTTGGAGACCGATTTGCCCCGATCTTGGCAACGACACGGCGACCTCTTGTTGCTGAGCGAGGACTGTTTCCAAGCCAAGCAATGGAAACATCTGGAACCAGAACTCTGGGAGACTGTTGCGTCGGCACTTGGCGTCCATCGTGTGGCCAAACGAGGGCGGGTATCCCCAGATGGCGCTCGAACGCCAGCAGTGACTCTGCTGCTGGGCGACCAAGGCTGGGTAGAGCATGTGGATAATGGGATCCAATATAAGTTTGACGTGACCCGGTGCATGTTCTCCTTCGGAAATATCTCTGAGAAGCTTCGAGTGGCATCGCTGCCCTGTGCTGGAGAAGTGCTGGTGGATCTCTATGCAGGGATTGGTTATTTTACCTTGCCCTTCCTCGTCCATGCTGGCGCTGCCTTTGTCCATGCCTGCGAGTGGAACCCCCACGCTGTAGCTGCGCTGAGAAAGAACCTTGATATCAATGGAGTGGCAGATCGGTGCCAAATACACTTTGGGGATAACAGAAAACTGAAGCTCTCAAACATTGCAGACCGGGTGAACCTGGGGCTGATTCCCAGTTCTGAAGAAGGCTGGCCCATTGCCTGCCAAGTGCTGCGGCGGGATGCTGGGGGCATTTTGCATATCCACCAAAATGTGGAATCTTACCCAGGCAAGAACCGCCAGCCTCCAGGAAGCAGTGAAATGGAGAAGGAACACTGGCCTTATCCTCAGCAAATGATCACCAACCATTGTACAAATGGAACACCCAGGGATTCTAGGGGGAAAAGGCTATCAGCAGCCACCAAACCAGAGTGGCAGAGGTGGGCGGAATCTGCAGAAACTCGTCTTGCCACCCTTCTTCAGCAGGTGCACGGGACACCATGGAAGACACAAATCCTGCACATCCAGCCAGTGAAATCCTATGCTCCCCACGTGGATCACATAGTGTTGGATTTGGAATGCCGCCCCTGTCCTCTAGTTGGCTAGAGAAGGTGGATCCTGAGACACAAGGATCTAATATGTGAGTGACCCTTAATACATAAGTTTAGGCGGGGTTCTCACTCTCTTTTCTCCCAGCCGCCTACTTTAATATTTTATGTCCCTGAAAGCAGGCTCTGGATCAGTCCAAGTCATCTTGTTTGTCTTCCATTATCACAATGAGAATGAACTGCATATCGGGGAGAAGCAGTATGGCTCCCTGAAATGAGGTCTGTACAGTGAATTCTGACCTCAGTCCTGTCTTTCCTTGGTATGTGGTTCCAGTATTCTTTTGGCCTTGGATTTCCTTACTTGCAAAATGAGGGTGTTTTTGAATGGTCTTATAGGCTATTGTCTAATAAGCAGTTGTACACAGGGCATTGGTTATTTTAGAGTGAAAGACATAGTGCTGTTTCCAAAATCACTCCAGCTACAGTGTGGAACACCGACCCGAGTGGGGCCAGGCTAGAAGCAGGGAGACCTTGGAGGAGGCTTCTGTGGTTGTCCAGGGAGGATACAGTCCAGGTAGCTTGGACTAGGACACTGGCAGTGGGAAGTGGATGGACTTGAGATACGAAATCGATGGGACTAAGCAGTACAGCCCAAATCAAAGCACTCAGATGGTGCAGCTTTGTTATGAAGGCTGACCAGATTAGGGAAGGAAAAGGTTAAGAATTACTCTATTTTATTAACTTCATTCCCTTTAGCATTTCTAAATGAGTGTTGGGGAAGACGTCTTATACATTAGGTTTGTTGTAGAAAAGAGGCTAAGAATGACTGCTTTAAATTATGGGGAAACTAGATTTCCAGCCTTAAGTTTATACAATAAGCTAGTTTTGTTTTGTTTTTAAGAGATTTTGAGAGAGCCTGTGAGCATGAGAGGTGGGGGATGGGAAGGGGAGAGGGAGAAGGGGAAGCAGAGAGAGAAGCTGACTCCCTTCTGAGCAGGGAGCCCAATGCTGGGCTCCATCCCGGAACCCTGAGATCATGACCCAAGCCAAAATCAGGTGCTTGACTGAGCCACCCAGGCGTCCCTAAGCTACCTATTTTAAAAGTTTAAATTAAAATCTTACATTTAACAGGGCTCAAGCTCCCTTTTCATATTTTTTTCTCTGGTGGACATCAGGGCCAACATAAGGAGCTATACACAATGTGAGATCTTCTGCAGTTTTTCAAGCCTCACCTTATTTTATGGCTGTCTGCCAGCACCACTGTTTACCACTGGAATGACTAATTGCAGAGAATCACTGTTTACCTTTGGGATGACTAATTTTGAGAAGCACTTCAGAGCTTTGTTTTGGTGCACTTTGAAGCCATCCGGGCTTGTTTTCTTGATGAAGGAAACATAGGGAAGTGTGGCTTTATTGGGAGTACAATTGTATGTCACATTTGGCTGGCTGGGGTTGGGCTGGAGCTGCTTGCCCTTTGCTTTTAACAGCGTCAGGAAGGACAGGATCGGTGAGCCTGTTGTGTATATGAACTGCAGATGCGTTAGATACAGCCCAGTCTCTGAGGAGCTCACAACCTAGCAGCAGAAATAACACAAAAACTGAAAGACTTGGAATACATTAAGTACCATGTAAGAAATAGCATGACATAGAAGTGTGGAGGTGGAGAAGGAAAGTTCTGAGAATGGGGACATCTTCAGAGAGGTCGTATCCGAACTCATTCTTAAAAACTGGGTAATATCTTGGGAAGTGGAGTCAGGGTGATGCTAGTAGAAGGAGAAAAAAAAAAATGCAGATGCAAAAAGCTTGCTCAGAAAATGTTTGGACATTGTCATTAGATCAATTTGGAAGAGAAGAAACAGTGAGAGATATGTTGAAGATGGGGTTTGTTATAAGGATTAAAAAGAATAGTGTCTAGTACAAAGTATGCCCCCAGGAAATGTTAGCTATCATGTGATCCCACCACGGAAGGGGGCTTGATTGTTCCATTTCCACCCCACAGAGCAGCCTGCCTGTTTGCCTTAATCATCTCCTCTTCTACATATGGGGTTTCTTCTCACATGTGTGCCTGCAGCTTTTGAGCCTCAGACTAGAAATGCGATGCTGGGACTTGAGCCAATATGGGGAGGAAGGAAGGCAGGGGAGAAGCAGTGAGGAAGGTGAGTCAGGGAGCCACATGTCCGGGGGCTGAGGAGTCACCTGTCTGCCGCAAGCTATGGATAGGCTGCTGAAGTCAGATACATTGGAATGAATGTGTGCACCCTGCAATAGACACATCAGGCCTTGAGGGTTCAGGGATGCCAGAAGGTTGACGTGGGTTCTGTGTTCATAGAATTGAGGTTCAACTCATACACCTCCTGCCTTCTCTCCCTTGTCCGTGACCCGAGGCAGCCTCTCAAGATTCAGTTTCCCCATCTGTACATATGGGTGAACAACTCACATCTCCGGAAGGATACTCTTTAGCTTTCAGTGAGTTAACGTACAGGGACTATCACCACCATGACTGGCACACAGGGACTACTTCATTCATTCAGGAGTCTTTATAGAAGGTGAACTACCATCTCCCAGTTTGGGTGTGAGGAACTGCTGTGCATTTGCTTTAGTAGTTAAAGTAGAATGTCCTTATTTTGAAAAGCCACTCTGATTAATTGGCCTTTCTCTGTGATGAGGGCCAGAGACAGAGGAGAGTGAAGCCGAGTCCTGACGGACGCCTAGCTGGCTCAGTAGATATGCTACACAACTCCTGATCTCAGGGTTGTAAGTTCAAGTCCCATGTTGGGTGTGAAGATTTAAAAATCTTTTAAAAAACCCAAAACACTAAGCTGAGTCCTGCCCACAGTAGGATCACTTCTGGTGACATGGGCACAGTGGTACAAAGTGCTGAGACAAATGGGTTTTTACAGGCACACCCAGGGGAGGCAGCCGTCCATGCCTGGGGATATGAGTTGGGGCAGTGGAGAGTGTGCGTGGGAAGATGGGGGCAGGGATGCTTCAACTGAGAATTAAAGAATGAGCCAGACTTACGTGTGGATGGAAGAAAACAAGGGTCCCTTAAGCCTTGTCTCCACCTTGAGTGTGTCCGTTTGCATTACAGTTTTCTCCGAGCACTTGCTGGATTGGCCCGCTCAGGAAGAGGCAGCTAATGGAACCAAGGAAAAAAGACTGAAAGGATCAGGAAGCTCATGGAGTGTTTGTTACCTCAGTCCAGGAATGTGTCCAGGTGCTGAAGGCTTCCTTTGTGAGCATCAGGATTAGTTGCCGGGTAACGCACTCACTTGATGGAGAGGTTGCGATTCAAAACCAGTAATGATAATTCTATTAAACTCCCTCGACTGTGAGTTGCTTGGTTCATTAACTTCATAATTTTAGTAAATTATATGCATATGTTGATATAGGAATATAACATATGCATTTTAAATAAATTTAAAATGATGATAAACTAATAAATAGCATTTTTAATTCACTTTTCTCCCACATGACAAGCACATGTGAGGAGAAACCCTATATATGTTATTCTGAACAGCCTCAGGGTACAGCTCCTTCTCACTGGGCAGGCGTAAAACCGGTCATTTTCTTGGCCTCTGGTAGTTTCCTCTTGTGTGTGTTGTGTGTACTGGTCATTACTTGGCTGCTGCTTTAGGAGAATGGTCAGCAGATGTCCAGAGTTGTCTGTAGCTCTCTCCACTTTAGTGTTCCACTCTCGGGACTCATTCCTGGGCTCCTGGGACTGGTCATTCCACACCTCTGGGAGTCTGCTGGGCTCCCCCTGCCTTCCCCCTCAAGCCACAGCCCAGAAACTTTCTCCAGACAGTAAGATGGAGTAAGTGGTTCGCCTTGTGGGTTCGCATCTCCCATGGGTGGTCGTCTGTTGCCTGTGTCCAGTGCCTTGAGGGGGCTTGTTCATGGGTTTTGTGTAGCTTTTTTTTTTTTTTTAACTATTTAGATGTTTATAATAATTAATGTACAAATTTACTAGCTTTCACAACCATTGAAGAAATTCACTCTAGCAATAATAAATACATACAAGTACTTAAGCTGACATGAAATTTCAACATATAAAGCACATAAGAATTTCTTACCACTGCTGTGCTGAGTATACCTACCTATATTATAAACTGAATATAGAAATATTAACAATAAATAGAATGGCATCTTTCTGATCCGATATGATAATACCTGGCAGGTTACTTGATGAACAACCACATAATTTCAGAGAGGCCACAAACTGACAGAATAGCTATTTGTCTCTCTGGCTTTTTAAAGGTCAAGGTTGAATCAAAGGCAAATAGAAAATAATGAATATGAAGTTAAAACTGTATTTTGGTACATACCATAGCTGCTCCACACACACACACACACACACACACACACACGACATACACACCACACATGCATACCCACACAGACACCACACGTATCATATTGTCTCCTGGATTGAATGGCCCATGCAGTAAAGCTGCACGTACACCATTAGGTAGGTAGATACAGGTGGACAGACTGTCCTAGTTTCTCTTTTAGTAATTGAATTTTACTTTTTTAAATCAAAGCTATACGTATGCATAGTTTCATAACTCCAATAAAGGTAACACAACTTTATGAATAAGACTACATTTCCACAACACCACAATGAAGTAGCTACAGCCTACAGCTCCTTTCCTCATTTTGGGGTCTACTTTCAACAATTTCAGCCGGACCATGTGTCAAAGGGAATTCAGGATCTAGCCAACATGTACCACCAGGAGCCATGAGGGTATGTATGGACCTGGGTCCCGAGAGCTGGCTAAGATGCAGTTCGCATTCATGTAGGACTCCACTCTCCCATCATATTATGGTCTGAAGAGATCTAGACCACCAGAACATCCCACAGAGTATCACGCTAACCTACTATATCTGTAGCATCATACTAATTAGGTCGGATAAAAAACTAGTGTATTGCACTCCAAAGATGGAAAATAATCACTAATAAACAGCAACCTGTTACAATAGTGGTATTTTTAGGGCTGCTGGTCTGCTTGAATGCTAAGATAGCCCCTTTGCAGTAAAGAAGTTTTTGCATCTCTCCCAGTCATCAGTACTCCTCTACCAAGGAAGCACACCAACCTCTCTCTGCTTCTCTGTGAGAATTCAGAACTTGGGAATGCTGCTCTGACTCAGATACTAGGTGACTTAGAGGGCTGCCAGTTTTCATTGGGATCCATGGCACATAAAGGCTCTAAATCAGGTATAAGCTGCGGTGTAATTAGCTTTATTTCACGGGCCATTCAATCCAGGGGGTTGTGTGGTACGAGTATCTGTGAGCCAGGGGAGTTGATGGCGAGCCCCAATGGGAAAATCACAAGGTAGTCCTACGCAGACATCTGTAGCAAGGCCAGGCGATAAGCAGTGGAGAACCGTGTATCATCCAGAAATGGCTCTTGCATGCCAGGTAGCGTCTGAGCATCTCTTAGGACATCAGGTAACCCTGTCGCCAGTGTTGCCCGTCACAAGCTGAGTTTCGCCAGGCCCTTCAAGTCAGTCCATCATAAGATGGAAGCGTCGCATCTGGGATGGATGACAAGGCCAGAGGAAATGAACAGGTGCACAGGCAGGTGGCCTACTCTTGTGTCATATTTATAACTCTTGCATCAGTGCCCTTCACTCCGCTCACATTTTGGCCACTTGAGAGGCTCTTTGGGCTCGCTGATGAAGGACAGAAATGCGCAGCTAAATTCCTGATAGGTTTTCTTGGAATATGGGTGCGAACAAGAAACAGACTGCTGCCACCAGACAGCCCTCCTCAGAAGTGAGGGGAATCCTCCCAAAAGGCAAAATTGGCAGTGTTTCTGGTTGTCCACTTTGTATAGGAAGAGAAGTGGCCGGAAGTAAGAATTACCTTTATGACAAATGTCAGATAGGTCAATGAGTTGATCAGGGACCTGGAGTGGGAAAGATTAGATCAGGGACAAGGAAGCCGGGAGAAGAGGCAGCGGAGAAGTCTCCGGAATTGGATACATGAGTAAAGGTCTTTGTATTGCAGTGCCTACCAGAGACCTGAATCACGCAAGAGGAACCAAACAAGTAAAAAGACTTCACTGGTTAATTTTAGCAGTTGTAGTCATGAGCTGCCCCAGTAGCATAATGGGCTCATGAATAAGGTCGGTTGAAGGATGTAGGTTAGCAAGATGCTAGCAGCATGGCCTCTGCTCACCAAGGAGCCACCCCCTAGCATTCGGCACTGAGCCCTTGAAACAACACCCTCCCTCAAGGTAGCAAGTGGATTACACTGGACTTCTGTCTTCTGTCGCAGAAGGGCAGTGATGCACCTTGACTAGACTCTTCCCATCTGCATGTATGAGTTTGCCTTTCCTGCCCACAGGGTGTTGGCCAGCATCGCTATCCAAGGGTTTACAAGTGTTTGATCCATCAGTCTGTATCCTACGTAATATTGCCTCTGACCTAGGGATCTGATTTACAACAAAGGTGTTTCAGTGGACACATGGCCATGTGATTCACCAGTCCTATCCCATCCTAGAAAATGCTGGCTTGGTGGAGTGGTGGGAAAACTTTTTTTTTTAAGAATTTTTATTTATTTATTTGACAAAGAGAGCACAAGCAGGCAGAGTAGCAGGGAGAGAGAGAGGGAGAAGCAGGCTTCTCGCTGAGCAAGGATCATGATGTGGGACTCGATCCTAGGACCCTGGGAACATGACCTGAGTTGAAAGACAGTCGCTTACCCAACTGAGCCACTCAGGTACGCCTGGAAAAACCATTTGAAACCAAACTAAGGCTTGGAGATAATGCCTAGTGAATGAGGTGCCATCCGCCAGGAAGCAGTATACATTCTAAACCCCTATTACACAGTGCCATGTCCCATCTAGACAGAAAATGCACAGCTAGGAATGAAAGGGTAGAAATAGAATTCCTACTGTGGTGGGCTAAATGATGCCCCCCAAATATGTCCATGTCCTGTAAGTATGTTATCTTACATGGTAAAAGGGACTTCGCAGATGTGATTAAAAATCTCAAAATGGGAGGAGGGTATCCTGGGTTATCTAGGTTGGCCCCCTAAAATCTCAGAGGTGCTTGGAAGAGGGAGGCAGTATGAAGAGGAGGAGCTGTGATGACTGAGGCAGGGTGCAGCAATGTAAGGAAGGGGCCACGAGCCAAGGAATGCAGGCAGCTTCTGGAAACTGAAAAAGGCAGGGAAATGGATTCTCCCCCAGAACGCTTCAGGAGGAACAGAATTGTGGACGCCTTGATTCTAGACTTCTGACCTCCATAACTGTGAGAGAATAAATTGAAATTGAAATCTTCACAGTACTGAATCTTCCATCTCAAAGCTTTTATTCTACTCGGTTGGGTGCAGCTCTGAAATGAGAAGTGACTATTAGGAGTCTGGACTACAGGATCCCATCGAGGGGGAAGAGTCCTGCCCTTCCCCTCGGTCAGTGGGCTACTATATCTGTCGTCTTTGGGCTCCCTACCTCGCCAGATGTTTTTAACTTAGTGTTACTTGTCTGCTGCCTCTCAGTATCTTAGCCCTCAGGTTATTCTTGACCATCGCTTTACATAATTAACATATTTGAACCTATAACCTATTTACATTCTAACATAAATTACGTACTATGAATGTGATGATCACATATAACAATCCAAAATAACAAACAATATCTTAACAGTAGTCTGAACCATACACTCCAGAACCATTGCAGAGTGTTGTGTGTCGTGTTGTAAGGGTTCCCGTGAGGATATTCTCAAATCTGTTCACCATACTAATTACTGTTACATACTATATGTCATACTAAGTACTTAAAATATATTGTTTTAATTGGTGTAACCAGCATGAAAAATTACTTACAGAGGATCAGATAGGCTCTGGAATCAAAAAATACCAGTTAGAATCCTGGCTCTGCCACTGTTATTTTCTGTATCTTTCCACAGGTTTGTTGAGATTAAACTCAACATGCTTGCATGCTATGTCTTTCATACTTTATCTGGCAATATTAACCATCTTTTTTCTTTTTCCCAGGGGAGGATACTGATGACTAGAGAGTTAAGTACTCTGTCTAGAGACAGAGCACTAGCAAGAGGCAGAAGTGGGCAAGTATACTGCCAAGCACATAGTGCTCAGTGTCTGTTACATGAATGAATGAACCAAAGTGGTCGGTATATACTCAATATTGATTCCAAATGCCACTATATTTTCTTATTTCCATAATTGAACAACAGACTCTTCCTGTTCATTCGGCATTAACAAAACCAGAAGACTTGACTAGTTGCTGAATTTTGATGGATACATCTGAAATTTACTTTAATGAAATGAGAAAAACTATAAAATAATTTCAGGCCAGAAATTACTTTTTTTTTTTTTTTAAGTAATTCCCAAGGTCTGCGAAAAAGTTATGGAACATATTTATCCCTTTCTGGGCTATCAGTTCCTACCCTTCCTACCAGCATCCCCGTCTTCCATTTGAAGTGAATATGTAACACATTGGTGGGTGAGGGGGGTGGGTGGTTCTAAGTACCTGTCTCCTGCTGCTTTCTCCCAGTAAGGAAGCTGCATGTACCCGCCCTCTGGTACAGCGAGGGGAAGATACATGGTCCAAGAAGCTCAACCAATTGCTTATCACTCTTGAAACTTGCAATCTTGAAAAATAATGAAAATAACCCTCTAATAAATTCCTTTTTTGCTCAAGACAACCCAGAATCAGTTGCGGCTCTCTGGAACAAAGACTTGGCAAATGCAAAGATCAACAGAAAATTCAAATGAGTTTTTACACATCCTACTTCCAGAGGCTTTTTAGAACAACTAAAAGGCATTCAGCCAAATGAACAGATTGTTATTTTTACACACAGGTAATTTATGTATATGGCGTATGCCTACATGAAACACACACCCTCCACACTGTTCTGTGTGGATTCAATATAAATACATACCTGAGTTGTGCAACTTGAAGTTCAAGTCAATGTAGAAACCAAGCAAAGATAAAATTCACTGAATTGCAGCTATTTCTATGAACGCAGATTTAACTTCTTTTTTCTTTTTTTCTTTTTTTCCATGTGGTGGGTGCTAAAGAGGGATTTTGCTTTTTAGGAACTTAGCTTCTGTTCAGAAGATGACTAACACAGACATTTCCTGATACAGAACTGAGAACACCTCTTGCAAAGCCAAGCAAACATAGCTAGTTTGTAAAAATCTATTCCTCTGAGATTTTCCCCATCGTTCCTCTGTTCCCATCATAGCATCTATTAAGTGGTATCGTCGTCATCAATGTTTTGGTAGTACAGGGTATTTTTCGGTATTATAGGAAGGGCATCCCTTCATCTTTACTCGCAGGTGATTATTTCTCCTGACTTAACTGGACCCATAAAATGTAAGCAGGCAGGGACGCCTGGGTGGCTCAGTCAGTTAAGCGTCCGATTCTTCATTTTGGGTCTGGGTCACGGGATCTCAGGGTCGTGGGATCGAGCCCTGTGTCAGGCCTCCTTGCTGGGCATGTAGCCTGTTTAAGATTCTCTTTCTCCCTCTCCCTCTGCCCCTCTCTTTCTCCCTCGCTTAAAAACAAAACAAAAACACCACATAAGTGGGCAACTGGAGAAGCTCAGACATGATGAAACTGAACTTAAAACATAGACTTAAAAGATGCCAGATATAAAGCAGAAGAGTGGATCCCTGGTGTAGGTAAAATCTTCTGAAAGCTTATGTTTTATTTTTAAAATTCCTAAGCTTTCTAAAAACCTCAGTAATATACACTTAGTTTTAAGATAGTATTTTAAAGTACTTTGCCAGGGTCTTATTAAAGCGTCATTTTATAGATAGGGAAAGTCAGATGGAGACTTTGAAGTCATGTAAGTAAGATAAGAATGGCCATACTACCACTCCTGAGCGCTCTGGGCCCAAATGGGATTTAGTTTGAATTAGAAATTCTTACACTAATGGATGGTTAAACATTTGCCTTCGGGTGGGTTGTGGTCCCAGGGCCCTGAAATCGAGCCCTACCTCAAGGTCTCTGCTCAGCAGGAGTCTTCTCCCTCGCCCTCTGCCCCACACCACCCCCACACTGGCTCATACCTTCTCTCTCTCAAATAAATAAAATCTTCAAAACAAATTCTATACTAATAAAATTTGTGCATCAAATTAAGATGACCAACCATTAAAACAATAAGGGCTGAGGCATTGTTACAAGATCTTTATTGACTCTTTACTACATTTAACTTTTTCAATAAAAGTTGGAGGAAAACCAGTTTTTTATCCTTCATTTTGCATTACCATAATATAATGGTACTCGCCTGCCTTCTCTACCACAATCCTGTTTTAACATTAATCCTTGTAGACTCTCTTCTCTGTAACAGCTTCTCTCTTTTTGTTTTAAATTGCAATCAAGGCAGAATAACAGGTGAGTTGAGAAGCTAATTTACGTCTCTGAGGTTTTCTATATAAACCTTAATAGTCCTCCCATCTTACCAAGTTTGCTTTCCTTTGGGAATTTAGTCAGAACCACAAGTTTATTCCCCAGATGTGCAATTTGGGAACATTAACCTGGCAGAGGCAAACAGACTAGATAAGAAAAGTGGTCATAATAATTATAATGAGGATATTGTAATCAGGCAAGCTACAGTAGGATCTTGGGTTAGGATAGTGGCAGTGACAATAGAAAGGAGACAAGTACAAGAGACTGTGAGGAAAGAATGGATACAATGTGGTAGCAAACTGGCTGTGGGTGAGAAGAGGAAGGAATCAAAGATGCCTGAAGTTCTAAGCTTCAGATAGTTCTGTGTTCTAATCCCAAATTTGACTGTTACTAGCCAATAACTACTTCAACAGTTTACTAGTAAGACACATGCTTGGTGATTTTGATAACCCATCTAAGCCCCAGTTTCCTCCTCTCTAAAACAGAGATAATAATACCTACCCAAAGAAGGCTGATAGCAAAGACTGAAGTAAAATGTATGGTGCCTAGTACAATGTAAGCACTAGGTAGATGCCCGTCATTATTAGTGGGGAATAACAGCAAAAGGTTAAAAACGGGAGACTGGAGTAAGGAGTTTGGGTGTTAGTCATCCTACCACACATACTCCACCCAGAGAAAGGGGTGTTGAAGTTTTATAATCGTCCCCTCTGGAGGGTTTTTAATTAATAGAGGATAATCACTCCTATAGATAAATCCCTGATACGAATGGATAGCAGAACGGTTTGGGCTAGGAGGCCAAATGAGTGAGGTTTTCTTCCTGTTTATCTCTCTCAAGGTGGCTGGGTTAGTAAAGTAAAGCAAAAAAAAAAAAAAAAAAAAAATCTTGTAGAGATTTGTAAAGAAGTGACCAAAGAAAAAGGGGTTTAGGCTTCCAGGGGTGGCAAACTTGTGGTAAGGTAAACATATGGGGGAAACTAATGGAAAATAAGGCTTCCTTTAGTGAGATTTGTGGGTAATTGAGAGTCTAAGAGTTGCCTTGGTAAGGGAGAGGGAGACACCTTTACAAATGGAAGTTTATACGCTGCTCTTTAGACAAATGGTGGCAGTGAGGAGGGCAGGCAGGGATCTTAAAAAATTGTTTAAGCTTCTACTGCTGTTTCTCAACTCTCTTCCGCTCAAAATAATCCTTATGTCAAAGTGGCATATTTGGGAGTGGCATATTCTGATCCCCTACAAAAATTTGATTATGGCTTCTTCCCAGGGGAGGAAAGAAGGGACTTCCTGGATGCTCTTACCTCAAAGACTACAAACAAAGAGGCCTGGGTTCTTGCCCTTAAGTCACAGTGGCCCTTAACATTGGCAAAATGCGGCCGATCAGTGCCCTCGGTTCTGTCCAATCGGGTAGAAGGTAGGAAAGGTGATGTGCAAAGAGATGAGAGGGATGATTTTCTTGGCAGCGGCCACCACACCTAGCCCAGTGCCACGTAGCACGGCCGCTGCAGAAAGCGCGCTCTGCAGCGCTCCAGCGGGGCCCCAGGCGGCCTCGAAGATAATTCCCCTGGAATGTCCGTCGTCCCCCAGACCCCGCCTCCGGGTGCGGTGGAGTAGGTCTGGCGGGCGGCGCCTTTTGCTCTCCTCCTCCCAAGAAGCTCTGAACCACGTTTATGGGCTGTCTAATGGACTATAATAAAACAGCTAATCATTCCCGCCCACGAAAGCAGGAGTCCCGCGCTCAGCCGACGCTGACACCGCCTCCGGCGACGAAGCCACTCAGTCAAGGGGGCGCGGCTACCGGAGAGCGCCTGCGCCTAGGGTGGCGCCAAAGCCGCGAAGGTGGGCGGAAACCATAGCAACACTGCGAGACGATTGCTACACCGTGCGTGTTGACGTTGTAGGGAGCGCCCCAAGCGCCGGATTATGATGCAATCAGCGGCGCGGGCTCCGCGGTCTCGCGTGACCGCGGGCGCAGCCTCCGGGCCTCCAAACAGCTGCAACGGCAGAGGCAGGCGGGCGAGGTCAAGATGGTGGCTCCGCGGGCGGGGGAGGTGTTGGAGGGAGGAGGAGCCAGACCTTAGCGGACCGGAAACACCGACACCCAGAGGCCTCCCGGGAGTCGCCGCTGCTGCCTCAGCCGCCGCCGCCTCCGCCGCCTGCTCCAGCTCGAGAGACGCGAGCGGGCGGCGGGGCGGGCCGTGAGGGAGCAGAGGAGGGAGGGCGGGGGCGGAGTCGCCCGCCTTAGCCCCCGCCCCTGGCCGCGGTCCCGGGCCCTGCCCCGCGCGGCCCTGCCCTGCTCGCCCAGCCCCGGTGTGGCAGCGGCTCATGGCGGCGGTGGGGCCCCCGCAGCAGCAGGTGCGGATGGCCCATCAGCAGGTCTGGGCGGCGCTCGAGGTGGCGCTCCGGGTGCCCTGCCTCTACATCATCGACGCCATCTTCAACTCCTACTACGATTCCAGCCAAAGCCGGTTCTGCATCGGGCTCCAGATCGTCCTCCGGCTCCTTGGTAAGGGGAAAGGGGTAGCTTGCGTCCCGGGACGGCTTTGAGGGTCGAAACGTGCTGCAGGGAGCGGGCACCGCGCGCAGGCTGTGGGTTCTGTGTGTATGTGTGTTTGAGAACTGGTTTCTTCGCCTATAGGGGAGTCTCTGCAGGTTGGGAGGGGGAAGAGATGACACTTGTCTCAGAGTTGACAGCGGAGCGGTCCTCCTTAAAAGAGTCAGCCTTCCGTTCATTTCTGCACCCGAGGCTGGGGAGAAAGCATGGGTGTGTGAGCATGCGGTGCTGTTTCTCTTGGGGAATGAGTGCTGGCTTGCCGCGTCTTACGCGACAGCCTTAGAAAAACAGCAACTGTTTACCCCGATCTCGCCGTGTGACCTTGGACGTGAAGTGCCAAAGCCTGGGCCTCAGTTTACCCCTTTCCAAAATGCAGAGTACTCGTATGTTGTCAGTTCCCTATCCACGAGGTCCACATGATCGTGAAATGTCTGCAGTAAATGACATCCAAAAGAGACAGGGTTTTGAATGTCAGACCTTGAAACCATTACTAAAAGTGCTCATGAAGGAGGCGATACTTGGAACGACTCCTAAAATTTTCCATGAATAGAGAGGTATTGAAAATGGCTATAGAAACGTGGCAAGAAAGTGATGAGACTTTTCCTAAAGAGTCTTCTGAAAATCAGCGTCTTTGTTGTATATGAATGGAGTGTTAAAAATATCTTATGTTTCACTCCCAATCTTCACTTGCATTACCAGAGTGAGAAGCATTTATGCATAAAAGACTTTTTTAAAGTAATTGACTTGGCAAATTTTGTTAATGAGGTAATTCTTGTGATTAGTTTTTCATAGGCTTGTGATCTTGGAAGTGTTGCTGAGGAAGGGTAGATGATGAGATCCCTACCAAGCCTTTCTGAATTAGGAGCCATCTGTTGCTTCTTTATTCCTTCTCCCCCCCCCCCCCCGCCCCAAAAATTGAGTTTTGTTATTGGCAATAACATTTTACATTTGTTTGGTACTTCACTTTTGTAAAGCATTTTCACTAACATAAACTTCAGTGTACTTAGAGGTGGATTGTGTTATTCTTAATTTTTTAAATGAGGAAACTGAGGGGCATAGAGGTTTAGTGTGTTTTGCTTTTGATATACAGCAATTAAATGGTTGTCAGAGCCTAGGCTTAAAAATCTTCTGACATCAAGGGTGATTGACTTTCCTCCTTACAGCTGCTGTCCAGATACAGAATGAGATAGTAGTGATCCTATGCTAGGTCTTTAACAGATGTGAAAGTGATGTTCTTTAGCACAAGACTTCTCAGTTACCCACCAGCCACTTAATCCCAGTCATTCCTTCTTATCACTGCAAAAGTGTGATGCTCTCATTATTTGAGGGAGCTGTGTGATTTCACGGCCTATGCAAATATGGAGTCATTATGTTCTATATCTGAAACTATTATGTTATGTGTCAGTTATACCTCAGCTTAAAAAGAAAGCATTCACTAGTTTTCATCTTTCATACTTAACGTATTTTGCTTAATTCTGGTAGTCATGGGGAAAAGTGATTTTAGTTAAATAACGTTAAAGTAAAATTAATAAGGGGGACCTGTTGGGAAGGCATTTTATTTCTCCCAGTTAGAAACCACTCATCATGACCATAAATTAACAGGCAGTTCCTTATCTCAGTTTAGTTACTTAGGGGTTCTAGCTGAGCCTGACGAACTGCCAGCCCTCTTTCCCCGCTATGCCCACATTTGTTGATGATATATAAATGAAGGCAAAATCTATGCCAACTCTTGGTATGGAGAAAAATTATCATTTCTATTCCTCAACTCCCCTGATGGGAGAGAGCTTGCTAGAGAGACAGCAGAAGCTAACAGACTTGTAGGGAACTACCAATTTTGGGATAACCGAAGTGCTGCTTTAGAAAGTAACCGAATATAACATAGAGGGGATGGGGGGGATGACTTTCCTTGCTTCTCTTTTGAGAGGAGGTCATGATGGAGGCCCCTCCAAAAAAAAGAAGGAAAGAAAGAAGAAAAGAAACAGCTGTATTTGAGAGGATTCATGGATTATTGGCAAATAGTGTAGCCCCTGCCTCAGATGTTCTTTTGACCTGTGACTGCCTATCCTCTGACAATCCCTTTGTGACCAGGTGTTTTAATGCGGTGCTCTCAGTTGAGCTGTAGGTTAAGGAGCTTTAAGGAAAAGTGAGTATTTTCCTTAATTAAATCATTTGTAGTTTAAGAACACTTAACAGTAATTTTGGTATTTGTTTTATTTTTTTTGTAGTAAATCATGGAAGTTTGTATGCGACAATTACAGTAGAATGTGACCTCAAGCAAGTTATTTAACCGCTCTGTACCTCTCTTTTCTTATATTTTTAAAGATGGGCAATAATGGTCTGTCATAAGGTGTTAAGGATAATAACTGAGTTAGGATGTAAGCTCTTAGAATAGTACCTGGGACCTAGTAAGGCTACTAAGTGTTAGCTCTTAATAAGCTTGATAACTTTAGAAACAATATTTCTGTACTTCTATTAAAACCACACTGGTACAGATATTTTGGTCTTCTGAAGGCTTCAGTCTAATTTTGGTGCTTTGAGAAATACAAAATATTTTCCAAATCTATTACCTGGACTGCCCCTTACATGGTACCGGTGTAGTTTGCTAATTATTCACATTTGTGAGAATGATAAAATTCTTTTTTTTTTTTTTTAAGATTTATTTACTTATTTTAGAGAGAGAGCACAAGTGGGAGAGGGAGAGACCCCAGGTAGACTCCCCACTGAGTGTGGAGCCTAACGCGGGGCTTGATTCCACGGCCGTCTGAGATCGTGCCCTGAGCTGAAACTACGAGTCAGACACTTTAACAGGCTACACCACTCAGGGGCCCCGAGAATGATAAAATTCTTAAAAACTGGTTTTGATGCTAAAAGTTCACCCTGAATAAAAACAAATGTCTTCAATGTTTGAGGTCCGTTCAATGAGGCTGCTCTTGTTGTTCTTGAAAGTGACAGGTTTGTGTGTAAAAGATACCATAAAGGATAGTTGAAATTAATTGTTCTGTGCCCGGTTGTTGTTGTTGTTGTCGTTTTAAATAGTTGCAGACCTCAGCGTTACTATATATAAATCTCAAAGCTTGTCAGTCTCATCTTTTTCTTTAAAATGAAATTGTAATAATGGAAATCTGTTCTCATTACCAATTTTATATCTCATCTCTAAAGAATTTACTCCCCTGTCCCTACAAAAAAGTACTACCACTGTGCTTTTGGTATCAAACTAATGTAAGAATTTCAGCAGATCAGAATATAAAGGATCTCATTTTTTGAGATCCAGATGAAATCAAATCACAATATATAGAGTATTTAAGAATATTAAGCTATTCTTAGGAGGTGTTAAATGCTAAATGAAATGCAACCCAGTGCAGCATACTGCTGAATTAACGAGTCTAAATCCAAGGCAGAAAATACAAGCATGGGAGTTTGTTTTAATAGTATTACTCAGGTAATGATAATTCATTGACGTGGAAAGGCCTTTCTAAACATACAAGAAAACCCCAAAATTAGAAGGGAACATTTGATAAATTCTAATAAATAAAAATGAAAAACTTTTTTATGACAAACATTTTTTTTTAACTTAAAAATGACAAACTGAGGACACTGTTCGCATTGTATGGGATTGAGTAAAAGCTTTACTGTCATTAAGAAAAATTTATACTCCCGGAGAAAAACGGGTGCAGGATAAGCAGTTCCCAATAAGTGAAATGCAGATGGTCAATAAGCAAAAGAAAAATAACTCGGCCTCAGAACAAATTTCAGTTATCAGATTGGCGAAGAGTTCAACATTCAAATAAAAACTAGTTTGTCCAAGTTGTAGGGAAATGAGTAAAGTCATACAGTTTTGGTGTACAGTCACTCCTATGCAGAGGCATTTGGCTCTAGCCACTGAATTCATCATACAGCTTTTGACTCAGTTCTTCTCAGAATTTGATCTAGAGACATAGCTGTACTTGTTCAAAGACTATGGGAAAGGACTTTCATTGCAGCATTGTTGGTAATAACAAAACTTAATATTGATTAAAAGGGGGGCGCCTGCGTGGCTCAGTAGGTTAAGCCTCTGCCTTCAGCTCAGGTCATGATTTCAGGGTCCTGGGATCGAGCCCCGCATTGGGCTCTCTGCTCAGCAGGGAGCCTGCTCCCCCCCCACCCCTGCTTCTCTCTATGCCTGCCTCTCTGCCTATTTGTGATCTGTCATAAATAAATAAAAACTTAAAAAAATATTGATTAAAAGGGAACCTGTTCTTTGTATTACATTTAGACGCACAATAATGAGTTTTTGAAAAGAATGGGAGTTATTTTGGGTGCTGTAGAAAGAACCCAGAAAACCTTTGAACTGAAAAAATATTGAAGCAGTAGTAATTTTGACACGATAGGGATAGATTAGGAATTCTCAACAATACGATTGACATTTTGGACGGGGTAATTCTTGGGGAGGCGGGGGTGCTGTTCTCTGAATTGTAGGATTTTTAGCAGTGTCCTTGTCTTTACCGATTGCAGATCCGTCAGCACCCTTCTTCCCCCTTTTGTGATTGCTAAAAATTCCCTGGATACTTAGATATTGCCAAATGCTTGGTGTGGGGGTGGGAGGTGGTGTTGGTGCAAACTCTGATCTCTGTTAAGAATCACTGAGACAGACAAATAGGCCAATAGCACAGAATGGAAAGCCCAGAAATAGTGCACCCATGTACACAGAGAAACTTGATGGGTGTCAGAGGTAGGACTGAAGTATATAATTTGAGGTAAATATAGACTATTCAGGTCATGGTCATTTAGTTAATGGAAAATATTATACTGGATACTTAACCACCAACATGTGAACAATTCTAAGTGACTTAATATCTGAATGTGAAGAGCATAACTTTAAAATTTTTGGAAGAAAATATAGGAGAATATAGAGGGTATTTTTTAACCTTAGAGTAAGAGAGACACTCTTTATAAATACATGAAAGTTGGGGTGC